TTTTGTATTTGGTTACTGGGAAATGTACTGTTATGTACGCATGGTTAGTTTTTCACGGGATGGGAGAGAAAGACTGTACGCAAAGTAAAGTAAGTTAACCGTCATTCTCAACTGTTCAGCTGTGTGCGGTAAGAGGAGAAGCTGATTTCGATGAGGGGATTTGTTCGAGGTGAACGTATAGCTGTGAAGATCATTGGTAGGTTTTCGGAGGTGTTATCAAATGGATTCAGTCCAGAAGCAGAAGGATTAAGATTCAAGCTTCATTGCATTTACGCGCCTGATCAGGCCACAGATAAGCCCCACCAGCAGCTACGTACCCTAGGCGGCAGCGGAGTCCCAGGGACGGAAAAGATAAGGGCAGCAAGATACATATGCATTGCTGTATACCCAACGCCAGATAATCATTTGCGCTGAGAGGCACTCGTAGGGCAGCCAATTTTCCGTCTTGCGGGAGGGCGTGAACTGTCCATTGTTAATCAGGATATTGTTCCTAGCTCTTAGGGAGAAACACACGTTATTGCTAATGATATCAATATTTGGGGCACTGAGGGCCGCTTGAAGTAAGATCGCAGGCAAACAGTGAGAATACACAGATCCCTGCTCCTGATATGCGCCCTCGCCCTATATAGTCCACCCATTCCTCTCCTATTTCGGTGATGGGGTATTTCACTTCGTCAAAAGAAAAAAAGTTTGAGTTGCCAACTATACCGATCGCTGTTTCGACGTTTAGAAAGGAATGTATAACGTGTCCGGACACTCTCATCCCTGACTGGCACTTGCACGTATCTCAGATGGAAGGCCTGTTCCACAATATGGACAGTACTCGAATTTAGTGAAAAAGTTGTCAGACAGTTTCGTTCGTGGATCTTTTCACTTTTACACTTTATTGTGATTGTTATTTCGGGTGCGATAATTTGATAATTCTGCTCGTTGTGTGACCGATGGGCGGTGAAGAATGTATTTTTTGGGTAATTGGTAGTCCAAATGAAGATGAAAAGGTTAAGTTTCATTCTTCGCAGCCACAGTGGATCAAGTTTTAAGGCAACGGCAACGATCCATGTAAGATAGGGTGGTGGAATAGCCTAGAAGACGCCTTAGTAAATGATCGTTGAACACGTTCCAATGCCATACGATCACTCACTCTAGAATTACAGTAGGTGATGGAGCCATATATTCAAGCAGCGGGTGCGCCGTTTTTATTCTATACATAGGTGTTAATGGATTCTTTTTAAGTTAAAATGTTTTGACAAAAAGCCCAATGCTTCGGCGGCTTGAGCTGCGGCAGCTCTCATGTGTCCAGCGATAACGGTCCCCTAACCTTTATATCCACTCCTAAACCCCCCCCCCCCACCCCCCACCCCCCCCCCCCCCCCCCCCCCCCCCCCCCCCCCCCCCCCCCCCCCCCCCCCCCCCCCCCCCCCCCCCACCCCCCCCCCCCCCCCCCCCCCCCCCCCCCCCCCCCCCCCCCCCCCCCCCCCCCCCCCCCCCCCCCCCCCCCCCCCCCCCCCCCCCCCCCCCCCCCCACCCCCCCCCCCCCCCCCCCCCCCCCCCCCCCCCCCCCCCCCCCCACCCCCCCCCCCCCCACCCCCCCCCCCCCCCCCCCCCCCCCCCCCCCCCCCCCCCCCCCCCCCCCCCCCCCCCCCCCCCCCCCCCCCCCCCCCCCCCCCCCCCCCCCCCCCACCCCCCCCCCCCCCCCCCCCCCCCCCCCCCCCCCCCCCCCCCCCCCCCCCCCCCCCCCACCCCCCCCCCCCCCCCCCCCCCCCCCCCCCCCCCCCCCCCCCCCCCCCCCCCCCCCCCCCCCCCCCCCCCCCCCCCCCCCCCCCCCCCCCCCCCCCCCCCCCCCCCCCCCCCCCCCCCCCCCCCCCCCCCCCCCCCCCCCCCCCCCCCCCCCCCCCCCCCCCCCCCCCCCCCCCCCCCCCCCCCCCCCCCCCCCCCCCCCCACCCCCCCCCCCCCCCCCCCCCCCCCCCCCCCCCCCCCCCCCCCCCCCCCCCCCCCCCCCCCCCCCCCCCCCCCCCCCACCCCCCCCCCCCCCCCCCCCCCCCCCCCCCCCCCCCCCCCCCCCCCCCCCCCCCCCCCCCCCCCCCCCCCCCCCCCCCCCCCCCCCCCCCCCCCCACCCCCCCCCCCCCCCCCCCTCCCCCCCCCCCCCCCCCCCCCCCCCCCCCCCCCCCCCCCCCCCCCCACCCCCCCCCCCCCCCCCCCCCCCCCCCCCCCCCCCCCCCCCCCCCCCCCCCCCAAACACAACCTTGTATCCACACCACTGGTGACAGGCTTTGGCGTGCTTGTTTCGTGTCGATCTGAACAACCTGGGTTCTATTAGTTAGGTAAGAATCAAACCATGAAAGCAGAGGGTTGTCTATACCATATGCAGTTAGTTTGGATAAGAGGTGGTTATGAGGGACACGATCAAATGCTTTGTGCATATCTAGGTAGATGACTATCGCTGATGAACCGTCATCGAGCGAAGTAGTCAGGAGACTGAGAAAGTCTATCTGACATGTTATGCAGGATCGCGTGCTTAGGAAGCCGTGTATGTGAGGTGTTGATAAGATTTCGCGACATCATGAAGTCCTCAGTTTTGGACTTTATGTGACGCTCCATCATTTTTAGAGGGATAGAAGTATGGCTTATTGGGCGGTAGTTGCTCATTTCATGCACAGAGCCTGACTTGTATGCGAGGAATGACTACAGCCGTCTTCCATGTGATGAGGCACGGTACCGGTGTTCATAGGATAGAGAAAAAGATTCAAAACGTAGTACAGGGAAGTCAGACCACCGTATTTATAAGCGTTGGTGGTATACTTTGTCAGGTCCCGCATACCATGATGACATTCGTAGAGGTGGACTAAGCCGATTATATCACGAAGTTCAAAATCACTGTGCAGATCTTGTCATCAGTAAGCAGAGGGATAACTGTGCGAGGGAGCCGTCAATAAGTCGGAGCACTTCTATCAACTCCTGGATCGACGACCCGCTCAGGAAGGAACACTTATGGGATTCATCCTATCGTTCCAGTCCCACTTTAACTTGAATCAAACCCGCCGCTAGGCAAGTCTCAGATGTGAGAGTCCCGGTCCGTTCCTTACCAAACTAGGCAACATCTTCAGTGCGACTATTAAGTTTATTTCCGGACCTAAGAAACCACTTATATTAACAAAGGGACCAAAGTCGGCTGTGGCATAACCACTTTGTCATCCAGTACAACATTCCCTTCTATAGGAAGTTGGCGAGAAAGCAGATCACCTGGCTGGGCATTACTTATCCGTTTGCGCACTGGAGGACCCACCGCTCAATAATTTCGATGCTCCGGATATCCGTCGTTTTGAGGACATCGAATTCCATGCGGCAGTCGTTGTGAAAATGTTGCTCGAGCTGGATCCTAACTCGTCACCTGGCCCTGACTGGTTTCACCCCCTCTGAGTCAAGACAGTAGCAGATTACATTGCCATATCCATCTGCCAGAATTTTCATCTCTCTTTAGTAGTTGGTCGTCTTTCTGCTGACTGGAAACAGGGAATAATGATGCCAAAGCACAAAAGTGGAGATCCCTTTTACCCACGAACTTTCGCCTAATCTGCCTGACATCGATAATTTCCCAGGTCATGGAGAAGATTATTAAGCGTGGTCTACAGAAGCATTGTTCTGATTTGGACATCACCTCCACTACACAGTAAGGTTTTCAGAAGCGACGCTGCTGCACTACCAACCTACTGGTGACGAGGGAAAATGGACAAAATCAATAGATGCTGGCAAACGCCTAGATGTTGTCCTTGTTGACTTCAGCAGGGCGTTTGATATGGTCGCACATCAGCGGTTGCTGTACAAGCTCCGGTAAATTGGTGTCAGTGGCGCCTATTCTCGTGGATCGCCGACTTCTTGGGAAACAGAACTATGCAGGTGCGAGTGAATGAAACCCTTAGCTAGTGTCAATGATCGAAAGGGTCCCGCAGGGTTGTATCCTCGGACCTGAACTTTTCAAGCTGTTCCTCAACGACCTTCCAAAACGCTTCAAACCGGATGCGTGATTTATGCTGAGGACCTCAAAATTTGATCGGAGGTCTCGGACGTTGATACTGCTGACGAACTACAGGCCAATCTGGACTTACTATACGACTGGTCCACCAAGTGTGGTCTACTTATCAATTATGCCAAATGTTGTGTTCTTCCGATTGTTGCGTTTGATCCAATTGACACCTACCACATTGTGGGTTTCCTCCTCAAGAATGCCGTTCGGGAGAAAGACCTAGATTTAATAATTTGCCTCGGACCTAAAAGCTACTTAGGGCACACTGAGGAGTGGTCGCTGCTAACAGGATATGGGGTGCCATAAGACCATTCTCTCAGATGACACCAAATATCTTCAGGCTACTTTTCACCTTTCATGTATGACCGTTGCATATGGTCTACCGGATACGTTTCCGCTTTCAAAGCTAAAATGTACCCTGATGAAGAGGGTCCAGATACGATGCTCCGAGTTTGTCTTCGGACTTAGGGATCTCCCCTTCCCTTTTCCAAGAGATGAACCTCTACTCACCGAACTACCGTTGCCGCCGTGAAGACCTCTTCACCAGGCTCACACTAAGAGCCAAATTAGGAAATGTACTGCGGCAGTTTTTCCACTACAACGTAGGAAATCAAACACGAGTTCACAATTGAAAGTCTTTAAACCGAGGATGCTCCGAGTCCGCTTCTCCGTCGCCCTTTCTACTTGGGTGGTGAACGACTTGAACAGCCCTCCCAGAAACTGTAGTCAGCGCACTGACAGGAAAGTTTTAAGTGGCTTTTGGATTCCCATCTACGCAAGATGCCTTCACTGCACTGTTCCTTTGCGATCCCACCCTTTTACTTGAGGACCGTCGGGTCGCTACTGCACACTTGCTGATCTGGAGACGACGGGGCTGATATGGGACTTCCTTTCTGCCCTCTACAAATCATTGAACTCAGTTAGTTGCCATAGGAATGGTATTTTAATGACAACTGTTCATAAAATACTACACATTTTTATTGACATGCAAGCAATGTGTTAGTAGAAACCGTGTAACAGGCCTTGATACTGAGTTTATTCTATAAAGTTTTCTTTCTTACTACAGAAATGTTTTATTACATGCGATCGGGTTTACAGCCTTACGTTGCAAACCGCAGTTATTCAGTGGGGTTCAAAGCTGCACGAATGGTCTATCAAGTGGCAACTGCCAGTAAACCGAAATAAATGTGCTGTACTCCCAATGAGTAACACTAATCCGTGCGGTGCGTACCACATTGGTGGGTTTCTCCTCAGGAGTACTACTCACGAGGGAGATCTCGGTGTTGTCGTATTTTCTGATCCTAGAACATCACAGGACACGGTGAAGGTGGCCACTGACTGGTAGGTGCCTTAAGATCATTTGCTCGAATGACACCTGAGATTTTTAGACCTCTATTCACTTCGTATGTCCGTCAAGTTTAGCATATGGCCTACCAGCTATCTATCCGCTTTCACAGTTTTAATTCTGCTGGAAATGGTTCGGAGACGTGCTTCGAATGCTATTTTGGGGCTTCGTGATCTCACATACCCCATGCAACTCAAGCAACTAAATGTTCTCCCTGGAGTTCCGCCGTCCCCGGAGTGACCTCATCTATACTAGACGTGTCCTCCGACGGGAGCTGGGAAGTGAGCTACAACAGTTCTTCCAGTCCATCGCCAACTGTTCCACACGAGGCCACATATGGAAGCTGTTTAGATGATGGAATGACCTACCGGAGAAAATTATGTACGCGTCATCCTAGGAATGTTTCAAATGGTTGCTAGGCGACCATTCGCTGAGAATACTGAGATCTTGCGGCCCTCACGGCAATTGTGACGAACCCTCAAGGAACATCATAACGCATCGATATGCATCAAACCCAGAATGATTCGGAATCTATGGGCCTGACAGGGGTTTTCCCTCCTGTTCTCAGCTGCTCAGTGAACTCAATGGAACCAATCTCGTCCGCTTAATGCAATTCGTCAAAACGAAGTACGTCTTCGTATTCTTCAACGGACCCCACGTCTCAAGGGTAGACGTTCTTCGTGCCGAAATACCTCTCATCATAGGTTCGTTTCTGAATGAAGGATATTGCTGTCAAGCGGCGAAACCCACCTTCACAGTGTGAGTATTTACATAGCGCGGAAGGTTCCGGGCGTCCGCTGGCAGCTAATCTTCGTCCTTGATTAATAGGGTTAAGGAATGGTCTACATGTGTTATCTGCTAACGTGCGCAGTCTAAGGAACAAACTGAATGAGGTTTACTTTCTCAGAATCACCCAAACGTAATGGTTTTTACGGAAGCACGATTGTCTTCAGATATACTAGACTCGGAGATCCATATTTTGGGATACCATTTCTTTCTCGACCTGATGGCTCTGGTACGAGGTCTGCGGGTGGTTTGGTTATCTATTAGAAAGCAGACCATAGGACTCATCTAGTTATGGCTGTATACGATACCGATGGTGTCTATGAACTTATTTGGTGCCCGCTTCATGACGGTTGTCGATCTTTTCTAATAAATTTCATCTACGGAGTCTGTTCTGCTCGCCTGATGGTATCCATTAGGAAGATCTTTAGTCTAATGGACTCTCTGACATTAGATTTTGACGCCCCTAGTCTCACTTGTGATCTCCTGTAGCTTTTGACTCTGCTTTTCATGAAACTACTTAATTGCTATCTATACCATGTTGCACTACCGACCAGAATGAACTCAGGCCAGGCACCACATCCTCACTCTCGTGCTTACACGGACACAGTCCAATTTTTCTGGTTTGGCTGTTCTACAACTAATTGGCAACAGTGATGACTATGCTGTCTCCTTGCAGTTGACTTGACGGCTCTCCGTTCAAGACCATTGTATACGTTGGCGCGCTGATCCACACCGCTTGCGAAAAGCCGCAGGCAATTTGGATGGGTCATTTGGATATGGATGATGCTTGAAGCCTTTTGTACGCTAATGTGATGTCAATTCCCAATTAGGTCGTTCTGCTTTCTAGAGTAACTAGTTCCCAGAAGCTTTCCTTGGATTGTTCGCGATATAGGGTCCCGCATGAACAAACGACGCAAGTCATCAGTGTTATAGTCCACAGGGTCGCTGTAATCACTCTGGCTGATGAGAGGAGGGCCTTCAAGTACCAGTTTCTTCACCAGGAAAGACGGCAAGTGCCTGGCGCATGCTAGTGATACTTAAATGGGGTGGTCGACTTTTCTGAACGTTCTTTGTTCTTCATTCTTTTCTTGCCTATTATAGTAACAAATTATTCTGGCACACTTATGATCCACTAATGTGATTTCCTTACGAATTTCTTGGTTAGGCATTCGGCTTTAGGGATGTCACCCTATCCGATTCCTTATGATGTCCACCTAACAATAAGATAGCTTCAAGTCTTCCCAGTTGACGTTAAAGTATTCCAACTACAAATTGGTCAGCAACATGTGCGCCACACTGAAATGTGAAGGCATGTATGAACTTTGCTTAGCTAAGGAATCCCTACTCACCCCAAAGTACTTATCTCCTACCTGAAAAGGTGCGAAAGCTGACAATGAGATGTCCGCCTTATATTCTTACCTAGATGATCTTATCCTTCGTGAAAATGATGAAAAAACCCTCCGTGCCTCACAGTACTCCGTTCTTTTCCACGAGGCCCCTTTTACTACCAACTTTCTAACCGTATGTTACTCTAGCTTCGAGCACAGGGAACAGTGCTAAATTGGTTAACAAAGGTCTACCGATACTAAACGGAGCTTTTCACCGGGGCCTTATTGCCTGTACTCAATGTTCCTCAAATCAGTGATCAAGTACATTACGGCGCCTATTTTCCAAGTCTTTCAGCGTTTCCTTGACGCGGGATGTCTACCGCTTCCTTGCAATACAGGGCTTATGAAGCCTATCTACAAAGAACGGAATTTTCAGGGCTCCAGCAGTTTGCGAAGTCATAAAACATATTTTCAAACGAGCCTTGCAGTTTCATCTTAAGAAGCTGAACACATCATCCTCCGCTCACGTTCGTGTATCTCCAACCTACTTATAACCAGGTAAAATGGGCATGCTCGTTAATAGTTGGAAACCGTTTGGACGTCATCATTTTTGATTACAGTACAACATTCGGCAAACTTCCCCCGGGATACTTTCTTGGATTACTAACTTTCTGATCGGGTGCAACGTGCAAGTGCAGGTAAATCGATCCTTCTCCGCGCTTGTTTCCATACCCCGTGGGGTTTCACAGAGGTCCGTCGTTGACCATAAGCTTTGTAACGTCTACTTCAACGACACCCATAGGGGCTTCGAACAGAATTTATGCCGATAGCCTCGGGCGGTCGCTAGAGGTCTCCACCTCTGAAGATGATGCCGGTTGCAGGCGACGCTAGATCTGCTACACTGCTGACATATTTCAAAAGATTGCTGGACTCATTTTTGATTAGTAAGCAAGGGTCGTGCTGCTTTTGTTGACACCGTTGTGGTGCCTTGCGGAAGAGTGCCTCACAACGACTTGCATCGTCTGCACGAAGTAGGAGCGGTGGAGCTGACAAAGGTTTTCGTTTCTGCTCTTTAAAACAATGAAACAGTTCACTTTTATGTGCGCTTGCCGTGCGACACACGTGAGCCACCTGCTTCACTATTTTTTGTATCTTTTAGTGGAGATTAATCAATGTTTTGATAACTGGTAGTGTTGTACTATCTCGTTTCTGGTAACCTCTGGCTCGGTGAATCATCCTTTCTTACTTGAAACATCGCCTAGTGAAAGGCTTGTTGATCATGCAGGCCATATTGTCTTGCTGTTTAACTGGGTTGGGGCGGCCAAGTCAACTCTAAAGTATCTCACTAGAGTGGTCCCCTAATTCGCTTTGCACTTTTCACGTTCATAGTGCAGTTTTATTGTTTTAACCTCGGCCACTTATTGACCCCTTGCTTGGAACAGTAAGAGATTCCCATGTGTGTTCCTTCTTGAGTGCTTCGTTGAACGAGTACATAGTTCCTGGGATCAATTTGAAACCGAGGAGTGCCGAACCAATGCACTCGAATCAGATCATTGTCAACTGTTCCATACCCGCTTGGCCTGCACTAGAACTCCCCGCTGGACCTGACAGGTGAATCAGAATAAAGGCTAAGAGAATCGAAACCGACAAAAAACAACACTTATAATTATAATGCAAGTACAGATGTACGAAATAAGGTAATAGCGATAATGATGCTAACCCAAATCTTCGAACACCACCGCATCTACCCAAGGCCTACCATCGTTGCATCCTTAGACATCTGCGCTGCATTCGATTCGGTTGATCGACCTGCACTGTGGCATTGCTTACTATGGAACGGTGTCCCAGAAAAGCACATTGCCATCCTACACGCACTCTACCTCCACATCTTCGGCAGAGTGAGGGTCTGTGGCAAGCTTTCGCTGTCAGCAGTGGTGTACAACAGTGCTCCCGTGGCGGAGCTGCAAGCTATCGAACGCGTCCCCAGGTTGTGGATTGGGGAATGCCTTCCTTGTAAAGGTACCTGCAAATAAGTATCGTCTGGTTGCAGGCAGGATGAATAAACAGTCGCGGACAATCAGCGGCAGCGTCTCAGTGCGTAGGGGGTTCTGGGCTAATCACCTGGTTTTTCAACTAATACCACAAGAGCTCGTACGGCGCTGTGTCAAAGCCAATGATACCGCCAATTGGGTCACTGACCACACGCTTCTGTACCTGCTGAGTATTTAACGGATGGCGGATAAACAACGTTGCTCGCCTCCGGCTTCTTTGTAGACTGAAACCGGACACAAAGAGAGTGAATGAGCCACCTGTCTGTCAACGGTTTTCGTATTTGCCCCGCTGCCTTGCGGGTCAGGTCTCTAAAACCGAAAGCTTGGGGTGGGTCCTTTAAGTCAACCCCCTTCTTCGGCATGAGCAACCGGGAAGCTCTGCCCACACAACAAATGGATCTTCGCATCCGTTCCCCTGACACTTCTTCCTTTTTGTTTTTGTTACTCATGTGTTGTGGCACTACTAAATGTTTCTTAGTCGTGTTATATATATATATATATATATATATATATATATATATATATATATATATATATATATATACAACAGCGCTGCCCTATGCCCTCTTTTCTCTTCAATTTTGCGCTTGAAGACGTCCTCTCGAGAACATTGGTAGGTTGGCACTTGTCCATCCACATGCTCACTCTTGAGGGTACACAGCTTGAACAAGTGCATAGCTTTGTCTATCTCAGCAGCTGCGTGTCTGCTGGTGCCTCTATTGAGCAGGAAGTTTCTCTCCTCATTGCCAAAGCTCGATTAGCGTTCGTCAACCTGGAGCACTTTGGCATCATCGGGATGTCTCCCTATTTGTAAAAGGTTGCCTGTACAATACCACCATTCGGACGGTGTTGCTATATGAAAATGACTCATGGGCAGTTCGCGTGAATGACATGTGCCCGCCTCTCGGCTTTTACTAGTGCGTGCTTGAAGTGGATTGCTCGTGTGTGGTGTCAGCAACGTATTCCCAATGTTGAAGTCGAACGTCGTATCTGAGGGGATGCACGTTGGTTTTACTGCGTCAGCTAAGATGGCTCGGTCACGCTTTGTGTATATCAGCTGAGCGTTTGCCTTATTGCTCCCTGTTCGGTCGTGCAGCGCGTGGTTGGAAGAGACCGCGTGATGGTCAGCCGTTCACTTGGCGTCAGCATATGAAATCGTTGACTTCACGTCTTGTTGCCGTTGGATCAACACGCCTGCCTGGTTGGTGACCAAAGAACTAATAGCACCGATGACTAGAAACAATGCATGAAATGGTGCGTAGTCGAAACCAGTGGAAGATTTGTTTACATACTTGTTTAGATTCAGCTGTCTACTGCTTAACATCTGAAGGCAATAAAAAAAGAAAAATGGTGTGTGAAAAATAACGAAGAAACTTCCGTTTCTTCTTACGGCACAGCAGTTGTGTCGCAAAACTCGGTTCTTCAGGGACAAAGGGTTTATTCAACAAAACAACCTCAGCGAAAATGACGGTATAACCAGCGTGTAGAAACTTCGATGTAAATAACCGGATCATTTTCATAACTAGCAACGCCTCTACATTCATGAGATTCTTCCCTTGAATTAGTTAATCGAACCCGCTCCAGCGTGGCCAAATAAGAACCAATCAGTATTGTTGTTCGTCGCAATCACCCTATCAGCAATACTCACCAAAATCCTTCCATTCATAAGTAAGAACCAATCAGTGCCTAGACGAACTATACGTAGACATTCAATCAGCTGCTCTGTTCGCTTTCGGCAAGCTAGCCGCCTGATTGGCCATGCAAATTCTTTATCGTTCTTGTGCTTGCACAATCCCATCACAAAGTGCCTTGCTCACTTTCAGCTAATACACCATGATGATAATGTGGTGATTAAGCCACTATTCTTCCATGGTACTGTATCTGCAGCCCAAGTGCATTTAGTTAATGTCCAAACTCCTTCACCGTTGGTGCTAGGGTCACTTGCTTTGGTAGTGCGTTCCTTCAGTCGCGATCCTACGTGATAAACGAAATTCAACCCTAGCACGATTGAATCTGGCTCATTCAGTTTCAGAGTGGCCCTGCTAAAAGTCGGCTTGCAGGTGGGATGGAACAGCCTAGATGGATCGGGCGAACTCTGGCCAGTTTGTATACGATACGTAAGAATCGGCTGGCTCGAAAAGCGCCTGTAGTGTGACGAAAACAACTGCAACATGAGCAGTCTATCGGGATACGAGAAATGCCTTAACTCGTGTATTACTTTGTGGCATTCTTCAGAACTCGATCAACTGCTATCTTGTCGTGGACCAAGCATGGGCTACAGGCCTGCACGCAGTATTCCAAGTATGATCTGACAAAGTCTAAGCGAAATATAAAATAATAATACTAATAAGTAAACTGTCAGCTGTACGCTGTGGTGGCGCTTCGCTGCCGCGCGACCAGCACCAGTCGCGCGTGGGCTGAGTATACCGCGAGGACGTCCACCCATACGCGGATTCGAACCGGTGACCTTATGATTGTAAGCCAGGCATGCAGACCACTCGACCACCGGCCGACAATATAACAATCATTTCATTTGTTGTGCTCCCGAATGATTTGCGAATCATCTGCAGCATTCGGAAACTTGCGAATAACCGTCGTTCAGTTTTCACTGGATTTAAAGTCCGAGCACAATGAAATGCACAAGTCGATTTGGTGGGTCATCTTCGGTATTGCATTTTCACCAAGAAAATATAGCTCTGAAGGCGCATGACCGACCACTTCATTTTCAATTTCAAGTGAGACTGGAACGATAGGATTATTCCGTAAGTGTCCATTCTTCAGGAGTTGACAAAGGGCCTTGAAATGTAGATGGACCTAAAACAAACACCGCAACACACCCTGATCAACCAATTACTGCACACGTATCCTGTACTAACAGTCCCTACTGGGTCGGTTGCGTACCGTATGTACGGGGAAACAACACAACTGAAAGGCAAGAAAAGGAACGTTGCAAAATAAGTAAACTATTAAGATACGTGAGGAATCAAAAAAAGAAATTTGGAAGCTGAAGTCGAGTCATATATAGGTTTGGTGTTGCTACCGAGAGCATCAAGCTGATGCGCAAAACCTTTAACTGTAGCTTCTCTAACCACGTGATTTGGAAACGAGTTCCAACATCCTACAATTCGATGCGATAAACGAGTTCCCACCCAAATCCGACTAAGGCACATTTTGTGCAGCTTCCACGAGTGATTGCGGAGACTAGATAGCTTAAGGGGACTAAATAGCCAAGACAAGTCCAGACCGATCTTTCTCTGGCAGTGTCTTGCGTACGTTCCCCAACTTAGCAAATGTTCGAGACACGTCTGTCTCCGTAAACCATGCACTAACTTTGTACCCACTCATAAAGTCTCCAAGTCTATTTCGTCTCGCAGAAGACATGATGAACATGCTTGGGTACAATATTTCAAGTAAGGTCGCGCGAATGTTGAAAATAGTGTTACAAACGTCAACCGTTTAGACTCAGAAGGAGCGGTGGGTAAAGCGCGTCGTACGGAGCCCCATACAAGCAGTTTTCCTCCAATTGTCGCCAGAGTTAAGTGCTGCTGAGTAGTGGACGACATTTAACTTGGCCTGCTAAGTGATAACAAGTATTTCACCACCGCTGAAAACATATCGTGTGAGAGAACTAGCAACTCCTATTCAGTGAACAGAACACCTGGCCTTATTTGTGGCCATCAAGCATAAGGCAGGTGATTTCCAGAGCTTATCCAACGCATTAAATTGTTCCAGGACGCCCAGGGATATCCACGACACTCCAGTGCCTAAGGCCATTAGCATTAGTGATGACACCACAAGCTCCCCCGACAAGTCACTTACGTAAATAGCAAACAGCAGTGGCCCTAATACTGAACCCTGCTGAAACAACTAAGAACAGCTTGCTCACGCGTAAAGAGAACAAGGAATCAGCAGTACACCGGTACGCATTACCGACGCTTCACTCCCACGCAACTACCACCAGTCGCACGTGGGCTTAGGATACTGCGAGGGTCGCCCGGTCCCTGCACAGACTCGGACCCGCGCCGTCGGCTTGCAAGACAGGCTTGTGATTCTTTAGGCTACGGGTCTGCCCACGCGTACGCACTGTTCCCTCCCCTCCAGGAAAGCAGATACCCATTTAAAAGCACGACCATATATCCCGTAAGACCTCAACTTTAGCGAGAGTCTAAGGTTAGGGACAGTGTCAAAAGCTTTCGAAATGTCTACGAATAGCCCGTCTATAGCGTGGCCACCGTTTACCCGTTTCAGCACACTACACGATTTCCAAATAGATTAGACTGACACGAAGATCACTTGTCGGATCCGCGTTGCGCGACCCCGAGAAGGTTCAATAAGTTCAAATGATTCTCCACCAACGCTTCTACCAGCTTTTCAAACAGCTTGATTATCACACCTGTCGTTCGCAGGTAAATTACTATCACCAATCTTAAAAATTGGATAAATGATGACATCCCTCCATTCCAAGGTAAGACAGCTGTCAAGCAATTTTGAAACACACATGAGAGAGGGCCAATTAGTTTAACAGCCAATTCATGCAACCTCTTCCTATGAATTGAGTCAGGGCCGGAAACTCTAGTGGAGTTTCTGTCGTGCGATATTCCGAAGAGTTGAGCCTCCGTTAGGTTAAACTCAGCTGAGAAAGAAGTCTCTGGAACTCTTGAAACTAATTTCACTTGTGGTAAAGAGGTCTCAGGAGCAAAGGCCCTAGTATATTGTTCCCTAACTATACAGGCCTTATAACATTTGGTATTCGCACAGGTCCCGTCTGCTCGCAGTAATGTTTGTATAGACGGATTTGTACCTGTGCGCTTCTTTATGTAAGCAAATAATTTGAAATTAACTGCGGCCGTCAGCTAAACCCTGCTAGTGTTAGAGAGGAGCAGCCCTGCGAGGTTACATTTATTTTTAACCTCGATAACTGCCATAGATGCTGGCTGATGGAGGTGCTTGGTAAGTTCGCCAGCATCTAGACCGTTTCTTAAGTAGGTATTTGCCTACCGAATCTATCCATGGAGGCTGTACTCGTAGCCCTATTTTCCTCATGAATAGAATGTAGGGAGCAGAAACCTCCGTAAGTTATGCCCTAAGTTTGTCACGGGCTGATTGGCAGAGTCTGCCATCGAGATTTTACAGTTCAGTACTGAAGTCTTCGCTCCCATTGCATTATAGTCCGTACACCAGATATTCAGCAATATTTCAACGGCCTAAAGGATATGCATGCGTGATCGCTAGACTCTAGAGGTGAACTCCGTGGTCTACACAGCCAAGGCACTCGCAGAAGTGACAACGGTGATCGACTATTTAAGTTTTGCGCCGATCACGGCCCCTTTCCGTCGAGCACTAGCTTTCGAGGATCCTGACACCAACGCATCACCTAGCTAGCTGTGGACAAATTGATCACCTCGCCATTAGCTACCGCTGGTGCGGCTGCATACAGGATTGCAAATCAATCTGCAGTACCTATCACATTTCTGATCATGCGCTAGTGTGTGCCATGGTCGTTCTACTTTTTGGTGGCTCCCAGTAGCTTCGCCTGAAACGACTTCACGTATCTTAGCTTTCTACCCTAAGTGTTCTGCGCGCATTTCGTGACGCTTTGACCTCACGGCTGAGAACTGCCTCATGTACATACATTGTAACACACTGGACGCACACCCGCGGCGCCACGTACAACTCCGCAATGCTGGTTTGAGGCTTCGCCGATTGTCCTGTCAACCACTGAATTTCTACACGACCCCTGCAACTTCTCGAAACCCGTCGAGCAACTTCTGCTAGTGTTAAATACCATTCACTACGCGAGACTACTAACATTGAGCTCAAACAGCTTCTCCAGAAAGATCGCGAGGTCTGGGGGACACCGGGTCATTGAGACAGAGAAAGTGGCCACCTCAGGGAATTTCCGTAAGCCTTTCCTCCTAATGCGATCTACTAGCGATGTAAGGCCGACTGTAAGCGAACTTTTATCCGTATGCAGTGTCGAACCAATCCACTGTCAAAGACGCCGACTCGAGCGTTGGGCCGAGGATTTGAGCAGCAATTTAATTGGCCAGCAGCACCGATGTGTTCCCATTCTGGAATCCAGAGTACTCCCTGGATTGTAGTCGCTTCGTCACCATCTGAGACTGAGGTTGCCCATGAGGTTCGCTTCTTAAAGTGTTGCAAAGCCCCTGGTCCAGATGAACCACCTCCAGTCCTTCATTAATGTAGACCCATAACTTGTTCACGAGTAAACTTCTCTCCTCCCAGAGAGCTGGGTCTCTGAAGTTATCCCATCTGATTGGAGCCTAGCGGATATCGTGTCCGTCTTCAGAAAGCTCACGCGAACTGACTACACCAACCAAGGTGCTCGCCACTTTGCTTTTGAGGAGGTTCAGCCTGGTACGCCAACAGAGCACACGTGAAGAGTAAGCTGGGTTCCGCTCAGATCGGAATTGCATCGATCACATCTTTACACTTCGTCAAATACTCAAGCGTTGTCAGACATTTGTTGTCTTTTTAGACATATGAGCCGCGTTTGTGTGTTGACTGAGCTGCACTCTGGAGTTGTCTATTGAGAACTAAGTGTCCTAGAAGTACATCACCCTACTTCAAGCCATCTGCTCTCAAATCTCGGGCCGAGTGCAGGTGCAGGGCGGACTTTCGCCCCCCCTTTGGTATTACCA